AGAACTGAAGTTGAAGAGTTCTCCCCTACTTACGAGACCAGAGTTTATTCCTCTGAGTAAATGTCCATCATTCATTTCACTGGACTAATGATTCTCAAATGTGCCACACTCACCTGGGGATGCTTAATAAACACATTGCTGGGCCTCCCTCCTGGATTTCTGGGACGGGGTCTAAGAATCTGCATCTCTAACAAGTAACCAGTGTTGCTGATGCTGCTAGTGTAGGTACCACACTTTGAGAACCATCGCATTAGACATTTACTACACTGAGCACTAGGAATACAAAGATCCTTATATCAAAGCCACTGTCCTCTAGGAGGCTCATAAACTGGAGAGGGAAAACAAACAGGAGATAATTTCAAGATACTGTCATTAGGACTACGCTGGAGATAAGCAACAAACCAGGAAGCCAGCCCTAAGGAAATACTCTGGTTTTGCCTGGAAGTCAGAAAGGGCTTTGTAGAGACGGTAGGTAATACTTTAGCCAAATCTTGTGGTGTTTAATGAGCCATGGACAGTTAGTCATTCCAGGCAGTAAGGAAAGCATATATAGAGGCCTGGAGGCAAAGAAGTGTCTTTCTACAAAGGACAAATAATTTGAATGCATGAGCTTTAGGATGTGAGGGGGAAAAGGAGTTGGAAAGTGAGAACAAGTATGGCATGCCAGATCAGGAAGGGCATCTTTTGCCAGGCCAAGAAGGTCAGACTTTATCCTGAAGATAATGGGGAGCCACTGGCAGTGTTTAGGTATTGTAGAAAGACTGCTATGGCAGAAGTGTGGAAGACTGACTGACAAGGATAAATTTAGGAGTAAGAAAACTAGGTAACTCGATATTAATGGAGTCCTAGCAAGAAATGAGGTAGGCCTGAACTAAGGTATTAGCTAGTAGGGGGGACAGCTGTACTCAAGGCAGACTTGGTTGGGAGCTGGCAGAGAGAGGAGGAGGAAGACTCAGAAGTCAGAGAAGGCTCTCCCTTGCCATTGCTTCAGTAACATCCCTCTCTCCTACTGTACCACTGACCTCTGAGGTGGCTGGTCCCTAGTCTTCCTTGCAGGCTGCTTTTCCATCCCCACGCAACGTTTGTGTTGCCCAGGGTTTCTGTCTCAGACTTCTGCTCTTCTCACTCTGAATGTAATTCCGGCAGCAGCTCCACACACAACTTCAACACCACCTATACCAGTGACCCACAGATTTCCTTCCAGCCTCAGCCTCTCCTGAACTGCTTACTGGTCATCACTACTTGGATGTCCCATAAATACCTCACGTTTCAATATGCACAAAAACAGTATCATTCTCTTGCTACCTTACCCGCAAACACTCGCTTATATAATTATTAATGTAAGATTCCAACTTCAAAGACTTTCTAAATGCTTGTTCCCTCTACCTAGAACATATTCTCTCTAGAAACCTCTATGTTGCCTAAACTTCTGCCTTCTCTCAAATATCACTTCCTTGGGTAGGCCGTTCCTAACCACCTCATTTAAAATCTCAACCTCCCTTACATTCCTATTCCTTCTCATCTTATTTTTCTCCATTGAACTTAACTAACATGGTATGGATTTTACTTAGTCACCCCCTACCCTCAAAAGGTCCAACGGAACAGGCATTTTTGTTTTTTGTTTACTGCTGTATCCCCAGTACCCAGAAAGTACCTGTGACTACAGTGCCTGTTAACTCTGCACTTTCCATAGTGAAATGTACATTCCTAAGCCTCTTACAGGGCAGCCACTGATACATCTGGTCTCAGACAACAAAAATTGCCCCAAAATATTAATGAATTTCACAAATCCCTGAATGAAGGTATAAATTTTGTTCCCTTAATCTACTTCGGGATTATTTTAAAACTTTATTGTGTATTAATGAGTTTGAAATACAAAAGCCTAAGAAGTTAGGACAGAAAAAGGATAAAATTTCAAGTCTGTCAGTGTGTTTCTATATAACAAAAAACAAAGGATTGTTAACTGCTCCCTTTGTCCATATCCTAGTCAGATGGAGCCATCAGTGGCTTCTGTTTCTAGCTCCATAGCAGGAGCTGCAATCCTTTCCAGAGTGCCCTCTACATTCATTTAAGCAACAGTAATTCTAACATAACCCTGAATGGGGAATGGTGATTATCTCCCATTTGGCAGATGACAGTACTGGAGCTCAGAACTGCCAAAGATAAGTATCTTACTCAAAGTTTCATGGGAAATGACAGGAGCAAGATCTAAATTCATATAAATTTAAGTTCGAAGCACACTCTTTCCAATATGCAACAGTGCTGCTATTTTAGAGGCCATTAAAATAATACTGTTTATTATTTTTACATTATGACTCATAAGAGAAAAAGGTATTTCTGCTCCCAGGGGTCATTTCTATTTTCAGAAGAAGAAGAAAATGATTTAATGCATTCTTTGTGGGCTGCCTCTGAGTGACAGGTGGATATATTCCTATTCTCTTGATTCTACCTCTAAGGACTGGGAATAAAGTTTGTTTTATTATACTAGTAACTTCTTCGCTCCTGAAATTTTAAACGATGATAGTTGTGCCTCTTAATATTCAGCACCTTGGAGATCCATTTTAAGATAAATCTTACATTAATTTTGAAAAAGAGTATACTATCAAATAAATGTAATATGGTAAATACGGTAGTTTGAGATTTTTTTTCCCTACCCTGCAATTTCAGAATTTCTCACTTCTGGTAACAAATTGGAAGTGTTCACATTGAGAATACAGAACAGTTCATAGACACATGCAGGCTGTAAGGACATCTAATGAACTCCTCTCTACTTAGAGATGAGAAAATTGGGACCAGGCTAGTCACAAAGATTGTGGGAGCATGGTAATAATTCAAGCCTTGCAAGAGAATCCAAGTCAGCCTTCTCAAGAGTGTGACTCTTGTTTACTCTCAGGAGAAAATGGAATGAAGGCAAAAACAGAATATCTATTCCCAAGAATATTCTAACATAGTGCTTGGCACAGAGAAGATTCTCACGATGTCTGAAGAAGCACTTTGCTAACTGAAACAGAATTTTTCTGGGAGCAAAACTTCTATCCACTACTTCTCTCTTCTTCAGCTTTAACAATATTTGGAAGCTACAGTTGGTTGAAAATTGAACATTCATATTTTACACACATTTTAAGCCCATTTCTTCTTTTCATAAGTCTTAAGCCTCCATTAAAATGACCAATTTCTGCAGCTGTCACTTTTTCTACATCTAAATGAACTCTGACGTGATTTGTCTTGATGGCAAATGCAGACATCTGAAAATAAACCTGTTTCATAAAACATCTGAGAAGGCCAATGAAGACATATTCTGCAGACAAACTCTCATGTGTTACCTACCATTTCTATCTGAGGTATTTATAAAGATGCAGGGTTTTTTTCTTTTTCTTTTTCTTTTCTTTTTCCAGGATTTTATTCAAATTCAGTTTAGTTAACATATACTGTAGTTCCATTTCAGGAGTAGAATTTAGCGATTCCTCATGTACATATAACACCCAGTGCTTATCACAACACATGCCCTCCTTCATACCCATCACCTGTTTAGCTCATCCCCACACCCAGCTCCCCATTTTTTTCTTTTAAGTTTTTTATTTAATTTAATTAAAAAAATATTTTAAGTAGGCTCCACACTGGGCGTGGAGCCCAACTCCTGGCTTGAACTCATGACCCTGAGATCAAGACCTGAGCCGAGATCAAGAGTCAGATGCTTAACCAACTGAACCACCCAGGAGCCCCAAGTTTTTTATTTTAATTCCAGTATAGTCAACATACAGTGTTATATTAGTTTCAGATGTACAATGGAGTGACTCAACAATTCTACACATTATTCAGTGCTCATCATGATAAATGTGTACACTTAATCCCCTTCATCTATTTCACCCATCCTCCCCACATCCCCTCTGGTGATCACCTGTTTGTTCTCTATAGTTAAGAATCTGTTTCTTGGTTTGTCTCTCTCGTTTTTTCCCTTTGCTTGTTTAGTTTCTTAAATTCCACATAGGAATGAAATCGTATGGTATTTGTCTTTCTCTGACTGACTTACTTTGCTTAGCATTATACTCTCTAGCTCCATCCATGTTGTTGCAAATGGCAAGATTTCATTCTTTTATGGCTGAATAATATTCCATTGCATATATATATACCACATCTTCTTTATCCATTCATCTATCGTTGGGCACTTGGGCTGCTTCCATAGTTTGGCTATTATAAATAATGCTGCGATAAACACAGGGATGTCTGTATTCCTTTGAATGAGTGCTTTTGTATTTTTGGGTAAATACCCAGTAGTATGATTACTGGACGGTAAGGTAGTTCCATTTTTAACTTTGTGAGGAACCTCCATACTGTTTTCCACAGTGACTGCACCAATTTGCATTCCCACCAGCAGTGCCGGAGGGCTCCTTTTTCTCCACATTCTTGCTAACACTTGATTTTTGTGTTTTTGCTATTAATATTTTTTAAGTCTACATTTTATTTTTGTTTGTTCTACATTCTTTCTACTCTTGTTCAATATATTACCCCCACCTCTCTCCTTTACTATTATTTCTTATGACTTCATGGTTTTGGTGAGGCTACAGCCAGAATTCCCTGCCCTGGTCAGTTTTGATGTACCATCCATCCTCCATGAGTGTGGCCCGTGGGTGGGTACATGACCCAAACTGGGCCAGTTAAGAGTCTTTACCTGAGGTGCTTCAGACTGAAAGCCAGTAGGGAGAGTCTTTTGTTCCTTGTATATTAAACTGGGATGACGTAAGAGTTGAACTTCCTAAAAAGTACCCACAGACGAAGCCATTTGTAATAGGGTAGAACCAGACTTAACAGGAAGGGCTGAGACACCAGGACAAAGAATCTTGTAGGTGAAGTCTGCATCTTTAGCTGTATAATTACCTAGATCTCTTCCATCAAATTACCCTTTTGGTTGCAGTTAGTTCCAGTTGGGTTTTTCAGTTGACACTAGAAAGCATCCTTAAATAATCTATATTATAATTAAAAAGAGTTGTCCTCTTTTACAGGTGAAGATGGAGCTGGAAAAACAAGCTTAATAAGAAAAATTCAGGGAATAGAAGAGTACAAGAAAGGAAGAGGGTTGGAATATTTGTACTTAAATGTTCATGATGAAGACAGGGAAGGTGAGTGTCATTTATATGTAAAACAAATTTCCTGAGGCCTTTCCGAGTTGCACTGCTGCTCATATTAGTCTTTGACTTTTCTTAGTGTGTCATTTTTCACTAGGAGTCCTAGTCTGTCACGCTAGTCAGTGAGTAGTTCTGTGTGGGCATACTTTTATTGGTTTGGGATTGGGATTCATAGAGTGATATTTTTTAACATCTTAAGGTATTCTGGTGTGCAGACTAGGTTTCTTGCTGGCCTTGAAGAATCTCAGTGCTTCAGTTCACTTCTCCCTCAGAGAGTGGAATAATAGTATCCTAGGCTTCTTTTGTTGACTCTCTTTTCACCTTCTCATTTTTGACACAAAAATGTCATCTACTCCCCTGCTTTTTTCAATATGATCAGCCATTTTTTTCTTGTATACATCACTTGTCTTCTCATTTTTGTGTATAATATCTTGAATATGCATGGCTATCTCTGCTGATAAGAAGAGAGAGAGAGATCCTGATGGTAAGAATAGAAACATGTAATTCATGTTGGTGATTTGGGATTTAGAAAAAGAAAGTAGAGGCTGCTGGTGTTCTGTGTTGGCAGTTAAATCATTTTCCTGAATGTTTGTTAGGCCTTTACTAAATTGATAGATGTGGCCTACCTAAATAGTTGAACTTTGTCAAAGGAGACCTCTCCTGTGGAGGTGCCCTAAGATACCAAGTAGTGTTGTTAGTTGGATAATGAAATAACTTAATCCTATTGCCTTGGTAACTTTCTTTTGTCTATTATAGATCAAACAAGATGTAATGTATGGATCTTAGATGGAGACCTGTATCACAAGGGCCTCCTTAAATTTTCACTGGATGCCATTTCTCTGAAGGACACTCTAGTTATGCTGGTTGTGGATATGTCAAAGCCTTGGACTGCTTTGGATTCTCTACAGAAATGGGCAAGTGTTGTTAGAGAACATATTGACAAATTGAAAATTCCTCCTGAAGAAATGAAAGAAATGGAACAAAAGTGTGAGTAGTCTAGAAATACTAATATAGATTTCAAACACCTATGTCCTAGCTATTGTAATTGTAGGAATTTTTTACTTTTAATAAGGTTTAATGAAGGATACATAATGTGACTACTGCTTTTGAAATTCAATTTGATGTGCTAGGTTTTAATGTAGTTTTAAATTGGAAACCTGTACATAATGGCAGACTCTTTAATAGAGGTGTCTTTTCTCCTTTGCTGAAAGGCCATAAATGTTCATTTTGAGAAGTAGGTTTCAGGATTAAAAAAAAAAATTGAATCTTTCTTCAGCTGTTCATTTTCAGCACTTTCATTTCTTAATAAGTAGAGCAATCTTATCAACCTTGTCAAAATGAAATGTGCCCCAAAAACGTTAACAACATAAAGATGGTAAGCTGGTTTTATGATTTACAAAGTATGTATTTTGTATATACCCATGTAAATTGGAAATTTTCTAAATTATGAAAATGATACAGGTCATTTTTTACAAATTGTAAGCCAGTTGTCACAGTTCTTAATTTCACTGAGAGCTCTTCATTTGCCAGTGTTGTACTTTGCTTAAGAAAATATACAGATGAATGCTGCTTTTCTTTGTTATTGTTAGCTGATTATAACTTCTAGGAGAAAATTGACAGCTTACTGGAATTTATATGCTAGGAAATAGTAGAGATTTAGGAGAATGTATGTCCTAAATCACTGAAAAAAATGTGTAACTGCTTTTAGTCTATACCTGTGTTTCCCTCTTGGCCATTGTCTGTGGGTCTTTTTTTCCCCAAAAGTTTATACTGTAGCACTGGTTCTCAATTTGTGGGTCCTAGGACCCTGTACTGTATCAGTACAGCTGGGAACTTGTCAGAAATACAAGCTGGGAACTTGTCAGAAATACACATTCTTAGGCTCTACCCCAAACTCAATCAGTTACTCTGGTGCATGCTAAAACTTGAGAACCACTGTTAGATTTCAGCTTCTGATTTGAAGGGTAATAGCTACCAGATCTGCTAGGGTTGTATGCATTCCCCTATGTTCCTAGAGGAACTGCACTCAACTATTCAAGGTTCCCTCTTCCTTGACCCCATCTAAGTTTAAGACAGTTTTCCTCCTTTATGGCTTTGTATAGAATTCCCTCATATACTGTTTTAATCCTATGCTGTGGATTTGTTTCCAGATGTGTTATTTTGCTTTTAAACATGGAAAGCAGCCTTATGTAGACATCCTGCATCACTGATTATTTCCTTGAGAATTACTCAAAGAGTAATCATTGAGTCAAAGTATACATTGTTAAGGCTCTTAATACAGTCACATTAACTTTTTGTTAAATGGAGGTTTTGACAGACTTGCAAATGAGTTCTAAAAATTTATCAGCATTGGTAATATCTCATTAATTCTTACCAGAATTACAGAGTGAATTGCACCTAGATTGCACCTAGGTAAAAAGGAAAAGACCTGAGTAAAGGGTTTAGAGAAAGGAAAGTAATGTTAGAAAGTCATCTAGGTCTGATGTTCATTCATTCATTCACTCATTTATGATTTTATTTATTTATTTGAGAGAGAGAGTGTGAGAGAACACAAGCAGAGGGAGGGGCAGAGGGAGAGGGAGAAGCAGGCTCCCCCGAGCAGGGAGCCCGATATGGAGCTTGATCCCAGGACCCTGGGATCATGACCTGAGCCGAAGGCAGATGCTTAACCGACTGAGCCACCCAGGCCGTAGGTCTGACTTTTAAATTGTGGAACATTCCCCTCCCTTCCCCTCCACCCACACACACACCTATTTTTTATCCTCTCAGTGCCCTTTGTGAATTAGAGAATGTCGCGAAGCAAAGCTAGATTGTGACTTACCCGAAGTAATTTGCACAGACAGAACTGGGCTTACATTGAACCCCACTCTTTGAAGCCACTCAGTGTTGTATTCTGCCTCCTCATAATTAATGTGGGTCTAGAGTTTCTGTCCTGTCTTTGAAACAGATTTCTCAAACTTTTTGTTTCTTCTCTTGTGCAAGACTAAGTATAAAGTCTCATAAAATACATATTTAGATTATGGCAGAAAAAGCTACCTGCTGAAATAAAGCAATTTCTAAACTATGTATTAAATTATTTACTTTGATTTTCAGTGATTAGAGACTTCCAAGAATATGTAGAGCCGGGAGAAGATTTCCCAGCCTCTCCTCAGAGAAGAAATACTGGGTCACAGGAAGACAAAGACGACAGTGTGGTTTTACCTCTGGGTGCGGACACACTTACACATAACTTGGGCATCCCAGTACTAGTAGTTTGCACAAAGGTTAGCTTCCTTCCTAGAGATTCTACTACTGCTATTAACCAAGGATAAACAGCTGTTTTGTTTTCCAGCCTCCTTTTGGAGGAGATTTCCTAGCTTTCCTAGATATTTTTTCTTAACAAATAGAAATAATAGTTTAAAATATTGAATGATAATCACATGTTGGTTTTGTGATCTTAGTCCTAGTTTCTTTGAAAGAAAACGTTACTTCAAATATTCTGTTCTTGATTGAATTCATATTCCTAATTTCAATTAGACTTCATTGTCCAGTCAGTTGACTAGAAATGCTACAGGTAAGATGGTAACTTTGGTATTAATTTTTATAAAATACTTTCCACAATAAATTGTGATACACTAATATCCTAATATCAGAAGATTATGCCCTTAAAATAGACTTAAACACCTACCAGCACTCATTATGTAAAGTTGATACGCAGTTATCAAGGGCTTTTTATTTATTTACTAAAGAGGTTCTGATAGGATTGCTATTACCAAATTCTGTTAATTTAGTTCCATCACTGTGCACACTTTATAATAAAATCAAATTCCCCTTAAAAATAATTTCTAGTTCAAGTTCATCTTCTTCCCATTTGGTCTTGAGTAGTATGTCTTTATTGTTTATAGATCATGGAATATTAAGGAAATGACAGAACATACAAACCTTTTTGAGATCTGAAATTATTAATGTTTTCCATAACATGTAAAAACTTGCACATGTCATTGAAGGGAGGTATGGCACTTACTCATCTGTGGAATAAAAATGATAAAAAATATTTTTAAGTTTTATTTTAAACTCTACAAAAATTATCAGTAACAAAGGGTGGGGGGTAGCATTTAAAATAATTAAATCAAAATCTGGTATCTGCTTTTCAAGTAGTGATTGTTGTGTAGTTGTTACTTACACCTTTTCTCTAAAACTGTTTTTAAACTCTCACACTAGAATCCTTCTGTGTGTGGTTTGTTTTTGCTTTATTTTGTTTGACAGAGAGCTGTTTGTTGGCAGATACTTCCCTGTTTTATAGCACAACTTGCCTCTTATAAAAACCTCTTATTTTCAAAGGAAAACTGTTAAGCTTAAAGGGACCTGAATTAGTATCAAATGAGTCAGAGTCATAAGATTTTTAAGCCAAAAGAGATTATCTACTGTATTTCACAGACTCTAAGACAATCTTCAGTTTTGTATTAGCTTAGGAGCTTTTAAAATGTGTAGGGGGGGTGGGAGAGGTGTCTCAGGACAGAGAAATAATGGCGGTTTAACTCTTCTTAAAGACTCTGGAAAATGAGATTCAGAGAGACTAAGTGTCTTGCCTTAGGTCCAGATCCTCTTATTGCATTTAAATATGTTCCACCAAAAGTATTGTAAGTCAACAATACAACAATTATAAATATCTTTAGTAATTTGAAGTAATTACTCTGTGTTCTATAAAATGGACAAACATGCTGTATCATGATTATACAGAGACTATGTTGTATGACGTATATATGCATAACAAAAAATTGCATGTCAGATTTGACCTCAAACTAATATTAGGTATAATGAACATTATTATTACAGGGTTATTTTTAGATTTCATACCTTCAGTTTCAGGAGGTTTGGGTGAAGTAATTTGGATATCATGTTTATTTTTTTGCAACATTTTTCTGTAGCAAGCAGAATTCAGAATCGTCTCAGTGACCGTACAGGTGACACTTCAAAAATAGCCTGTAATTCGCCTTTTTTTTTTTTTTTTTAGGATTTTATTTATTTATTGGACAGAGAGAGACACGCGAGCCTTTTTTTTTTTTTTTTTGCTGTTGGTAAGATTGTAGTAAGAGTCAACAGAAGAACCAGAAAAGAAATGAAGGTCATTTAAGATTTATCAGATAAACAGAGGAGCAAAGAGGAAATAGGGAAGGGTGCAGACTCCCAGATATACAGTGTTTTATAGAACTAGAATAGAGTTTAGAACTTAAAAACTTCGTTTAAGTCAAAAGGAGTTGTTGAGTCAGCAAGTATGAGCAACCATCTGCTTGTCCTGTTACTCTTCATTCCTTTATGTACTGAAACTTTCTCTTTGGTGTTTTCATCATTCAATAGAACATGGACATTAATACTTTTTAAGGAAATTATTCCTTAGTCTTGATTCTAACTAAAAGAACTTAGACATGTAAGAGTAATGGATACTCTAATAGTCTGATGTTCAGTCACCATATCAGAGTGGTAGGTTTGTGAAATTCCCCCATTTCATTCCAAAACTGTTCAAATCATTATATTTAACTTTGATTAAAGTTAATATTATTGTTTTTCTTAATTATTTTAACTCAACAGTGTGATGCCATTAGTGTATTGGAGAAAGAACATGACTACAGAGATGAACATTTTGATTTTATTCAGTCACATATCCGGAAGTTTTGTTTACAGTGTATCCTTTTCCTGCATTCATCAGTGCAATGTACCTTACCTGTTTGTTTGCTTTTTTATTTTTTTATATTTTTTATTTTTTTTTTTTAAGATTTTTATTTATTTATTTGACAGAGAGAGAGGGAACACAAGCAGGGGGAGTGGGAGAGGGAGAAGCAGGCTTCCCGCTGAGCAGGGAGCCCAATGTGGGGCTCGATCCCAGGACCCCGGGATCATGACCTGAGCCGAAAGCAGACACTTAATGACTGAGCCACCCTGGCACCCCTGCTTTTTTTAATTAATGGAATTAAATTGATGGACTTCAGGAATTCCATAAACTTTTTTCCTCCTGCTTCTGGTTAGAAATTTCATTTTAGCTCCCAAATCATTTATATCTGGGTATTTTGAGCTATAAAAGAAGGTATTGAAATATGTAATTTTGATTTGCTGTGTTTTAAAGGATTATGCCTGAGAAAAATCATTTATCAAGTATCAGTCTTTTTGGAAAATTCTAATGAGTTGACATTGTAAACATTCTGATTATAAAGCAGTATTCATTTATTGGGAGTGGTGTTGGGGCAAGATCAATATTTAGGTTTGTGTATTCCCATTTTTAACATGTTCACTATGTTACCATCTCTACATATAGTCTAATGCAATGGTTTCAAAATCTGGGTGTGCCCAGCTAAGGCTTGCTGAATTGGAACATTTCAAGGTGAGGCTGAAGAATCTCTACTTTTAAAAAGCTTTCTGGGTGATTTTGATAATCACAAGGTTAGAAAACCTATTATAAGGAATCTTGTCTAGGTTGCAAGGATTGGAGGAACCTCTGAATAACATTCAGAGCTAAAAGAAGGATAAAATGAGGGTTGCACATGAATGCTTTTAAGAGGATTTACTATTGAAAACTTTGTCACAGCTTGAGTGCACTGAGGAGTTCTCACCCACCCCTCTTGGATTAGAGAGTCTGTGGTTACATTCCCTAACCAAAGCTTTTGTGTCTGAAAAGTGAAGAAATGATGACATTAGCAGTAGGTAGGAATCATAAGTAATATATACATGTTTATAGTGTCTGTAGTTTTTCATTTTCATTAATGGACATTTAATTTAAGGACCACTTACAAAAAGCCTAGATGAATAATGAATAATATCACTTGATACTAGCAGCTTCCCTTTCCCCTTTTCTCCTCAGTACTTTGTCCTCTCTGTGGCCCTTTCTTTTCTCCTGTCACATAATGGTTGACTTGGTTGAATTGAAGGGCATTTGTCTACATAAGAGACTTTAAAAAGAAGACAAAAAGTGGGAGTAATTGGGGGCGCCTGGGTGGCTCAGTCGTTAAGCTTCAAGTGTCTGCCTTTGGCTCAGGTCATGATCCCAGGGTCCTGGGTTCAAGCCCTGCATCAGGCTCCCTGCTCTGCGGGAAGCCTGCTCTCCCTCTCCCACTCCCCCTGCTTGTGTACCCTCTCTCGCTGTCTCTCTCTATCAAATAAATAAAAATCTTTAAAAAAAAAGGAAAAGTGGGAGTAATTGAAGTAGATGTCTATAGACTTTTTGTTATCTTTGAAGATAGCAAATTTGGGAACAAGCAGTCTCTTTAAACATTTAATTAATACTGTTCTTGAAAATGTACATACAGAAATGTAATCAAGGAGACTGTCCACTGAAATAATTACAGACCTTTAGTAGAGCCCACTGATTTTAAAAGAATACAAACTGAGAAGTCACTTCAAGATAGTGAGGCACACACGTGTGTGTGTGTGTGTGTGTGTATGTGAAGGCAACAGTTCAAAATCATTATTTTTTTTATTATGTTAATCATACATTACATCATTAGTTTTTGATGTAGTGTTATTTATTTATTTTAAGATTTTATTTATTTATTTGTCAGAAAGAGAAAGAGAGAGAGCACAAGCAGGGAAGCGACAGGCAGAGCAGGCAGAGGGAGAAGCAGGCTTCCCACGGAGCACGGAGCACGGAGCCCGATGCGGGGCTCGATCCCAGGACCCTGGGATCATGACCTGAGCCAAAGGCAGCCGCTTAAAATCATCTTCCAAGTTTTTTAAATGTTAGTTTTGTTTTTTTTTTTTTTAAAGATTTTATTTATTTATATGAGAGAGAGAGAGCACAAGAGGGGGGAGCGGGAGAGGGAGAAGCAGACTCCCTGCTGAGCAGGTAGCCCGATGCTGGACTCGATCCCGGGACTTCAGGATCATGACCTGAGCCGAAGGCAGTCGCTTAACCAACTGAGCCACCCAGGCGCCCCTAAATGTTAGTTTTAATACAAATTTTTCAGCTATATCATAAGTTGGTTCTCATGAGAAAAGATCACTCATTAATGAAAAGTTCACACAATTTTTACTTAAAATGATAATGTTTGTTTCTATCAAGTTAAGTTTTATGAGAAGTCCTATTTAGCAATACCACTTTTAGGTTCATAAGCTTCAGTTCATGCACTAATAAATATGAGTATCCCAATCCAGAAGTAGAAGTTTGACCATTCCCAGCCTTTTCCCTTGGTCTAAGTTGTCATCTCAGGACACAGTGGGCAGTGCTAGAGCGTGGTCCTTAGCAATGGCCATAGAATTTCTGATAGTCACTCTGACCACATCATCTGTTAGTAGTCACGTTGCCCCTTTTCCACAGGCCTCTCTTGATCTTTGGATCTACCATATCATTTGGTAGGGTCTGCCTTAATTAACACATCCTCTGGTGAGGTTGTGTTACCTCAAGTTTTGGTCATGAAATCAATTTTTGCTTTGAATTATGCCTCAAAGTTTCCTGATGATACCTATTCGTTCATTTCTCTTCAGTAGGTCTCCTGAGCTTTGCTCCTGAAGTTCTAATTCCTGGGGCTAGTGAAAACCACAAGAAATACTAGTATACACCATTTTTTTTTTTTAAACGCAAGCAAAATAGTTGTTGATAAATAATATCCCTCCTTCGTGAAGTTTAGGAAGGTCAAAAACAAAGCCAATTACCTCTTCTTGTGCTTTAAATGGAGAGGTAGTAGCAGTATCAGTATTATTAAATTTACCTTTACTTTCTTGGTTTAATGAGACTTTTGCCCTCCTAAATGAAGTTGATAATGTAAAGATAGTTTTATTTGCATTTTAGCCTATATGTATTTTATACTTTTGAAATTCTTGACTACCCTATAATGTACCTTTCGGAATTATTTTTGAAAGTGCTGTGCATATAACTGTTAAGCTGAGAACACAGAATTTTATGGTACCTGATGTTCATGGAATTTGTCCAAAAGTTTCTTTAACAGTATTATTCAGATGGTGCAGCACTTATTTACACTTCAGTAAAAGAAAACAAAAATATAGATTTAGTATATAAATATATCGTTCAGAAACTGTATGGATTTCCCTATAAGATTCCTGCTGTTGTTGTGGAAAAAGATGCAGTATTTATGTAAGTATCCTCTTCAGTGTATTATTTTATTGTGTGTTATTGCTGCAATTTGATGGTGAATCCTCGTTTTTGGTTTTGAGGTGAGACCAGTAGACCTTTCCACGATGAGTAGGTGAGAATCTCTTCTAGATTGTTTTATTTATAACCTGTGATCCATTTATCTTTGCCTGTTGGATTTATTGCTGGCCTGAGCCCCTTTTGGAATGCCTTGCTATTATATATAGCTAAACCGTTGAGTGCATATATCAGTGTATTTACTTACTTTTTACTTACTTTTTGATTGATACTCATTTATTGATTGGGTTTGATACATAAAGGACCCAGTATATAATCTAGACATGCTTTCAAAAAGTTACGTGAATACACTAAGAGGTAATAATAATTAACCAGACACCCCCCCCCGAAAGAACCCCCCAAACTGTGCATTTTTAAAATCAGGAAGATTAAGAACCTTTTTAAGTAGTAATTAGTAAACTATAACTTGAGCATTATAATAAAAAATCTGATTAGTTTCAGTTTGTTTGTTTTTTTTTAAGATTTTTTTATTTATTTGAGATAGTGCCAGTGAGCACGAACAGGATTGGGGGAGGGGCAGGGGGAGGCACAGAGGGCGAGAACAGGCAGGCTCCTCGCTGATCTGGGACGGAGCTCCATCCCAGGACTCCCATGATCATGACCTGCCAAAGGCAGATGCTTAACCGATTGATCCACCCAATCTAATAAATAAAAGCTTATTAGTTGTTCATAATTGGTCAGATTTGTTCCCTTTAATATGATCATGGATTTAATGAAGGAATGACTGTATAAATGCTTGAGATTTATCATATGCATTTCTTTCCAGTCCAGCAGGGTGGGATAATGATAAGAAAATAGGAATATTACATGAAAATTTTCAAACATTAAAAGCAGAAGATAATTTTGAAGACATTATAACTAAACCACCTGTCCGAAAGGTAACAGTTCTAGTATATATAGTCTCAATATTTGGCCTTTTAAACTGAGGGGGGAGTCCATAACTTTAAGATTATAGTTAGAAAGGTAAGGGGGTCCTTTCCTATCAAGGGGTTTTCTAAGTATAATTTGGGTGTTGCTAATGTCAATTCAAAATAAAAATCTGTGTTATCAAAATATAAACCAGCTGTTCAGTTACTGAATTCTTACTTAGCCTTTGGCATATTTATATTAGAAAATATTAGTGTGGATTCCATAGTCTAATGGAAATAATGAATTGGTAGGAGTGAATGTATGGATATTGAAGAGAGTAGGTTGAAGCTGTGAACTTTCCATCCTAGAACTCAGCCAAAAGCCAAGAAAATATAGGTAGAATAAATGTGTTAGCTTCTCTCTGTTGAGGTAGATCTGGAGTCTTCTCCACAGTCACTAGTTACCCATGCTAGCCCACAGCTATCCAGGAGCTTCCAGTTTAAACTGTTACATGGCATTCATATGCCTATTTAATCTGCTTCCAGAAAGTACTCTTCTTTCACATATTTTGATTTCATGTTAAGTAATATATCATGTACTATAGTTAGATGTTACAGATGTTTCTAGAAAGTTGTATAAAAAGCATTTACATATAGTACTTCTCAGTGACTTTTAAGTGGACATGCTTTAGGAAAAATAATTTTGATTTAACATAAAATAAGATTCTTACTTAAAAATCCAAACAAAAAAAAATTCCAAACATTGATATTGAGCATCTGTCTTATGTTTGTGGGTAATTAGAAAAAAGAAAGTTAATGACAAATGAAAAATCAGTTGGCATGGTATTTGGTTTGGATGTCTATTAAAAGAAGTGCAGACATCAGGGGGAAAAAAAAAGCAACAGTTTTTCCCATTCTCTTTTACCAACAAAATTGTGCTGTAAGTTATCTTTTATTCATCCCACTAATACCTCCTGGGCCACTGTTTAGGCACTAGGTGCTAAATAGGACAATGATGCAGTAGTAAATCGGTGCGCATGCCAGTGCTCAAGTGCTGATAAGTGCTGTGGCTGTAAAGCCCAGTGAGGGAGGGTGGGGGAGAGCAGGGGCACGGGGAGGGTTACTGTTTTAGGAGTGGTTAGGGAATGACTCTGATAAGAAGGGAGAGTGTTGCATGCTGAGGGAGCAGAAAGTGCACCTGCCCTGAGGCAGGAATGTAGAAGGAGGGCAAAGAGCCTCGAAAAAGTGAAGAGGAGGGCCAGATTGATAGGAGATGGAAGGCGGAGTTAAGATCTTGTGGGGCCTTCTCATGCAGTTGGAGTCAGGACTTTGAATTTCATTGAGTGGAATGGGAAGCGCCTGGAGGAGGAGTTTGAGCAGAGGAGTGAGGTAATCTGCTTGACCTTTTGAAAGGATCACTCTGGCTGCTGGTGGAAAATAGTCCCATAGCGTGCATTGTACAGAAATAGTAGAAGCAGGAGATGGTTGCTGCTTCTTTTTGCCTAATTACTCAGCAGGTAGAAGAGCCATTATATTTTTATTTCAGAGAAACCAGGGGCAAGTTGCTTTTCACTCACCTGGGGTATTATTGGCCCTTTTAAAACACCTAACTGTTGGGTAACAGAAGCATGATTAATATACCTATTGACTCTAAGATTGTGCTGTCCAATATCATGGCTACTAGTCACATATGGCTTTTAAACATATTAAGTAAAACTAAATAAAATTAAATTTTCAGCACCTGAGTCACAGTAGCCACATTTCTTTTTCTTGTTTTGAGAGAGAGGGTGCGAGGCGGAGGGCAGAGAGAAAGGGAGAGAGAGAATCTCAGGCAGGCTCCATGCTCAGTGCAGAGCTGGATGCAGGGCTCAGTCTCCCAACCCCACGATCACAACCTGAGCGGAAGTCAGGACTCAGATGCTTTAACGACTGAGTTACCCAGGCGCACCATAGTAGCCACATTTCAGATGCTCAATAGCTACAGGTGGCTGGTGGCTACAGTATTGGACAGGACAGCTATCAAAGATTCATACTATTGCAGATGGTTATTGGACAGCTCTGCTGTAGGGGCTTGGGTCGGGCAGTTCACTTGTGTAAGTATAGGTAATGTTTGTATTGAATTTTTTTTAATTAGTCTAATCTAGAGAGTATGTTATTAATGGTTTTTTAGCGTAATATATTAGACTTGCTCATTTATGCATTGCTCATTTCAGTTTGTACATGAGAAGGAAATTGTGGCAGAAGATGACCAAGTGTTTCTTATGAAGCTACAGGTATGAAATTATATCAGAAGCAGATTTAGTATGGTTAATGGGTAAACTGTTCTTACATATTTTTTAAAATACAGCAGTACATGCTATGAGTGTCTGACCTAGAACTCTTTTGTGTTTTTCAGTCCCTTTTAGCAAAGCAACCACCAACTGCAGCTGGAAGGCCTGTGGTCAGTATTGCAGATTTTGACAAAATTATTAAAGTGCCGTACATTATTGGTTTAGTTCCCTTTTTTCTTAATCGTATACATGTCTCCTGTGGGTGTGTTTTGATATAAACTTGAATTAAAAATTCTTGAATTTGTGACATTTTAAACTTCACTCCTTTTTAGAATATTTAAATCCTAAAGATCCATTTTGCCTTGTTTGTCATGCATGAGTTACTGTGTGGAACCATTTTTATATGGTTCCTTACCACTTATATAAATCCTTAAACAACAGCCCTGTGGGGAGGCAGGTACTACCAGCCCCATTCTGCAGGTGGGGAAACGGAGGCTTTGGAGGACCTAATAGTTTGCCTGAGATTTTATAGATAGTAGGATGCAAGTCCTACTTGGAACTCAGATCTGACTCCCATGCTTATACTCGTAATCACACCCCATTATTCAATATGTTCTTTTCCCATTGAAGGGGAATTTGTATTCTAAAATGTGATGGGTCTCGTGGTATTTTCTGATAATGAGGACACAATTGCTAAACATGCAATGGCTTGCAGTGTAAATGTACCAGTAGAACAGATGGGACAGTTAAAAAGTAATTTCTTTTTATAATAACTTTGGTGAAGTTGGAAGTTTCCTGTTTTGATAGTTATGGCTTTCCTATTTTTACATAGGATGCCTCACCAAGAGTCCCAGGAGGCTCCCCTCGAACACCAAACCGATCTGTGTCATCCAATGTTGCCAGCGTGTCACCCATCCCTGCAGGGTCAAAAAAAATTGATCCAAACATGAAAGGTACATTTCTCTCTTTTCCTAGAGAAAACAACACAATACATTTCACACTAAAAAGAAATCTACCTAGCTTCCCGCCTTTTTTCCATAGCTGTTTACATTTTTGTGCAATAGCTTCTAACCTTTGTCTCTGTCTCTAACCTATAATCTCATAGTTAATCAGACTTCACACCATTTTATAGTATAGCCTTAGTATATGATATCTATGGTGTGAGCTTTATGAAAGTTTTGTGTTATATTTAAACTTCTCCTAAGGTAGGTCATTGAAGAAATTCATATGTTAATAGGCTATCTGCAGTTAACATAAAGAGAAAAGCTATATGCGTAATAGCTATTTCAGTAGGAATAATTGCCATAAATGGGATTAGTAGGTGAGAGTTTGTACATTTTTATGCCTTTTGATAATATGTTTCAAATGGCTTATTCAATTTACAAGTCATCAACATAGAGTGTTGCAATTTTGCCACAACCTAATCAGTATTCTTTAAATACTAGTAAGAGCTTTGTCCCTGGTATTTCCTATTTGCTTCTCTTCTGTGAATTGTTTCTTGTTATCCTTAACGCATTTATCTCTTGGAACTGGTTTTCACACAGGATTAGGTAGCTTTTTGTAATACTTGAGGCAAACATTTCTCAACAGTTCATTTTTGAAGAAACTTTTTCAGAAGGGAGGTATAGTAGCATCTAATCCCTGTTTTAAATGCTTTTGGTTTTTTAAAAATAACATTCTAATTTTTTAATAATTATCTTACACTCTTAAAGTTTACTCATATTTTGTTTTACACATGAATAGATTAGAGATAAGTTACCCAGGCTCAAAAGATCAAACTAGACTTGAATTTGGAATACACAGCTCTTAAATTTTAAATATTAATTGCTCTCTGTGATTACTGTAATAATAATGTATAGAAGAATCTAATGTTTTGAGTGCAAGTTTTTTGGTTTTTGTTTTTTTAATAGCGGGAGCTACAAGTGAAGGTGTCCTGGCAAATTTCTTCAATAGTTTGCTGAGTAAAAAGACTGGCTCTCCAGGAGGCCCTGGTGTTGGCAGTGGTAGCCCTGGAGGTGGGGCTGGAGCTGGAAGCAGTGGTTTACCGCCATCCGCCAAGAAATCAGGTACTGTTCGTAGAGCTTTTTTTTTTAATAGCTCTATTGAGATAAAATTTACATACCATGAAGTTCACTCGTTTGAAGTATAAATTCAGTATTATAGTATTTTTACAGAGTTACACAAACCATCATAATCTAATTTTGAAACATTTTAATCAATAATGTTTTCAAGGTCCATCCACATTGTAGCATGTATCATTATTATTACTGAATAAAATTCCATTGTACCTATGCCACATTTTGTCTACTCATCAGTTGATGGACATTTAGATTGTTTCCCTTTTTGGCCATTATCAATAGATCCACTGTGAACATGTGTTTTTGACAGATGTTTGACAAATGACATGTGTTTTCATTTCTCTTGGGTATATACCCAGGAGTGGAATTGTTGGGTCATGTGGTAACTCTGTGTTTAAAGTTTTTGAAGAACTGGCAAACTGTTTTGCAAAACGCTGCACCATTTTATATTTCCAGCAGCAGGGAATGAGGGTCCCAATTTCTCCACATCCTCTCCAACATTTGTTTTTGTCCATCTTTTTGATTAGAGCCATCCTAGTGACTGTGAAGTCATATCTCACTGTGGTTTTGATTTGCATATCCTTGATGGCTAATGATGTTGAGAATCTTTTCTTCTGTTTATTGACCATTTGTAGATCTTTGGGAAATGTCTATTCAAGTCCTTTGCCCGTTTTTAAGTTGGGGTGTCTTTTTGTTGTTGAATTTTAAGTGTTGTTCATATATTCTGTGTCCTAGACCCTTGTCAGATGTAGGATTTGCAGATGTTTTCTCCCCTTGTGTTGGTTGTCCTTTCACTTCTTGATGGTGTCCTCTGAAGCACAAAAGTATTTAATTTTTATGAAGTCCAGTCTATTTTTCTTTTGTTGCTTTTGTTGTAACTGCCCTTTAAACAGACTTTTTAACCCATTTTCCTTTTTAATCCCATCTTTTTGCCACCCTTTTCACAAAAATCATTGTGCAGCTACCATTTTTGTAACCTTTTACAGGTTTCTGGGTATAAACTGAATTACTTCTTGGCTTTTCCCACTGCCAGTGTAGATTAAGCTTTCCTGAGACTGCTAATATAGTTACTACCCATTCATATTCTTTATACATTCCAAAATTTTGTTGCTATTTTGTTTTACTGTTCTTACTGTCCTACGCCTTTTTAAAAAATATCTTTATGAGATTAAGTGATAGGTGCTAGTTTTACTTCCATTTGGTAACAGACCCCATAATGTAAAATGAGGGGATTTATTTTTTTTTAGGGGATTTATTTTTAAATTAAGGATGTTTATATAACTTAGTGTGCTAGATAAAGTTAATGAAACTGTTGGCAGCTTTTAAATGAAGAGACATTGGTGTAAAAGATACTTTGACTTCTATCTAAATCTTGTTTCTTTTCCTTCAATGTAGGCCAGAAGCCTGTCCTATCAGATGTTCACGCAGAACTAGACAGAATTGCACGCAAACCAGTTACAGTTTCTCCTACAACACCTACATCTCCTACGGAAGGAGAAGCTTCTTGAAGATACCAAATAAAGCCATTTATTCAGTTTTTTGGGATAATGTAAACTGGTCTCTGCCTTCTCCTTGAAAAGTGGAATTAGGGAACTGGAGTGCTTTTTCAGATGGACTAAATTTCTTTCTTTTTTTTTTTTTGTGGTTGCCCATTTTTATAAAAGGAAGCTATACAGAAGAAAAATTATTCTACACTATGTAGGATTGCTGTTTGCATTGCCCCTTTGCATAAGGAAATAATTTTGGATTTTGAAAAACTCAAAATTTATAGATCTGAAATACAGCCATGTGATCATACTCTAAAGGCGCTTTAAAACATAAGAGGGTTTAGGAAAGGGCAGAAAATAATATGCTTTGGGCATTTGACTGACTTGGAAGTCCAAGCTTATTTTAGTTAAGACTATTAAAATCATTTGAAAAATTACGTGTTAGTTTTGCTGGAAAAGAGAAAATGGTCAATTGTCAGATTTTCCACACCAACGTAAATATAACACCACACATGGAATATACTGAGAAAACTATCAGATAGCATTTTATACACTAGTCATTGTCTCAACCCACGATCTGTAAGCTCTCATCAAAATATGATTTCGAAATATTGGCCAAGATTCATTTCTTTAACTGAGAAGAAAAGAAAAGCACACTGCCTAGATGCATAAAAGAAAAATGCAGAGGTTATTAAAACGTAAAGAGGTAACAGTCTTTGGATTTGTCTATCTATATCTGTATCAATATATAGATATAGATATATATATGGCTCTGCCTTAATATACCCCTTTTTTGTTTGTGACTTTCAACTGTAATCAGTTAATAAAGTATTTATTCTCTGCATTCAGGTTCAAATAACTTGTTGCATTCTCTTATACATAATTTGTATTTATTGGACAATGAATGATTCATTAGTATTTTGAGGTGTTTGACTTAATAGGATTATTAAGCATTCTGATCTTCTTTGTAAGAGACAAGTGAATACATGAGATTCACTAACCTGTAAGTTTCCTTAAGTTGGGAGTTTACCTTGATCAACACAACTTCCCCACAAGCATGTCTTGAACTACAGAATCTTATGTCAGCATTTCTAGTAGATAAAATGTAGCCTTTTACCATTATTTATTGGGCAGAAGCTATTTTAAAAGCTTGGCAAATGCACTGACACATAGGTCCTCTCTTACAGGTGAGAACACCTGTTAGTAGTTCCACCTGAATTTTCAGGACTGTTTTTAAATGCTTGTTTTAGAACCTTCATAAGAACAATTTGACTTCTTGCTGAAGTTCAACTAGAGAACACATGCACATTTAACTTATTGAATCATTACAGATAACTGGGGAAAAAATGGCTACTGCCCTTTATGTTGGCCTTTGTTATTACTTTAAAATATATATTCCAAAGAGTTTTTTTCTTCAGCAAAATGTTTGAGGACAGTACTTCTACTATCTAACATAATCCTTTCATTAAAACTTTAAAATCTTTACTTTTAAACAGTATTTGTCTCCTAATAGTTGAATATAAATGCTAAAAATACATGAGAGGGTAATAATTAGTTTCAAGGTGGGAAAAACTTAGGTTGTTCATGGGAACAGAAAAATGAATTTGTAAAAACATTTTGCTTGAGGAAATACGAGATGAAAAATGCCACTGGTAGAATCTTTAGTCTGGAATGGGTTCTGCAGTCATGGTGTTGTAAAGACCAGTTTTTCTAAAGTAGTACCTGATGAAATAAGGGAGACTTATGAAAGAAAATCACTGACTGGGCATCATGGTATACTTTGATGTGTCTGCTGTGTTTGCATGTCTAGGCCAACTCGTTCTTTTCTGTGTGACATTGGAGACGTACTAGAAAATCCTTGAAATTAATTGAGTCATTAGCGGAAATAACTGTAATTGTTCAGTTTATAGGGTATTCAGTTTTAACTAATCTAAAACCTTGTGTTTACCATGTTTAAACCTTAAACGAATTTTTGTCCCTATTTTTTGTAAGGAAATTTGTTTTTAAAACTACCTAAAACTTTTTGTTTTTAAGCACTTTTTATTCAAGTATACATTAAAGAAAAGTATACAAATTACGGGTTATAATGTTTGAAAGACCACTAATCACCACCAAGGTCAAGAAAGACATTACTGGCATCCCATATGCTTCCTATGTGCCCCACTCATCAGCACTCCTACCCACCAAGTGACCACTGTCCCAACTTCCACAGCCATATATAAGATTTATTTTTAAGTTTTATATAAATGGGATCTGAGAGTTTATATTCTTTTTGTGCAGGGCTTCTTTTCAATATTCGTTCTGTAACACATCAACAAATCCATGTAGCAATAATTATATCTTTTCATTGCACCATAATATACTGGTAACCTTGCAAATATGCTGTAATTTATCCATTATGCTATTGATGGATGTATATTAGTTTCGTATTGCTGCTGTAACAGGTTACCACAATTTAGTGGCTTAAAACAATACAAATTTATGATCTTACCATTCTGGGGGTCAGAATTCCAAAATCAGTCTTCCTGGGCTGAAATTAAGGTGTCAGCAGTGCTGATTTCTTTTTTTTTTTTTTTTAAGATTTTATTTATTTATTTGAGACAGAGAGAATGAGAGACAGAGAGCATGAGAGGGAGGAGGGTCAGAGGGAGAGGAGAAGCAGACTCCCCGCCGAGCAGGGAGCCCGATGCGGGACTCGATCCCGGGACTCCAGGATCATGACCTGAGCCGAAGGCAGTCGCCCAACCAACTGAGCCACCCAGGCGCCCCAGTGCTGATTTCTTTTGGAGGCTCCAGGGAGTATCTGTTTCCTTCCTTTCCAGCTTCTAGAGGCTGCTTGCATTCCTTGGGTTCCTGGCCCCTTCTCCATCTTTGAGGTCAACCGTACAGCATCTTCAGCTGGGTGCTTCCATCACATGGCTTCTCACTCTGAACCAGCTGCCTCCCTCGTGTCAGCATCCATGTGATTAACTTGGACCCACCTGAGCAATCCAATGTAAGCTCCCTCAACACCTCACTCTCCTTGCTAGCATGGTTTTTGGAGAAATTGGGCATCATTCTTCGCTCCTCCATAGGTTCCCCCCGCTTTGGCTTCTTTCAAGGTTTTTTATCTTTGATTTTATGCAGTTTGATATGTTATGCCTAGGTGTAGTTTTTTGGAATTTATCCTTCGTGTTCTGTGAACTTTCTGGATCTGTGGTTTAGTGTCTTGACATTAATTTGGGGGAAATTCTCAGTCATTATTGCTTCAAATACTTCTTCTGTTCCTTTCTTCTGGTATTTCCATTATATATATGTTACATCTTTGTAGCCCTACAGTATTAGGATATTCTGTTCCTTGCCCCCTCCCCCTGCGGTCTTTTTCTCTTTGCTTTTTAGTTCTGGAAGTTCCTATTGTCACACATATTGTCACCCAGAGATTCTTGACACAGCCATATCCTGTCAACTAGCCCATGGAAAGCACTGTTCATTTCTGTTACAGTTTTTTTTTTTAACTCTAGCATTTCTTTTTTATTCTTAGAATTTCCATCTCTCTGCTTATTATTGCCCATCTGTTCTTGCGTGTTGCCTACTTTTTCTGTTAGAGCCCTTAGCATATTAATCATAGATGTTTTAAATTCATGGCCTGATAATTCATCATCTTTGCCATATCTGAATCTGATTCTGATGCTTCGTCTCTCTCTTCAAAATGCTTTTTGCCTTTTACTGTGCTTTGTAATTTTCTGTTGATAGCTGGACATGATGCACTGGGTATAAAGAACTCCAGTGAATAGACCGTTAGTAAAGTGGTAAGGTGTTGCAGGGAGGGAAAGCATTCCCTAGTACTGTAATTAGGTCTCAGTGAGCCTGCACCCATGGGCTGTGAACTTCACAAGTCTTTCCCAGACCCCATCTCCACCCCCAAGCCCTTACACCTTAGGTGGGACAGGACGGTCCAGGGGATTTTTCTCTTGATTTTTCCCTTTGAGATCCTGGTAGAGCTTCTGGAGGTAAAACTCAGAAAAGTGTGGGGGAACCGCCTGTGACTAGGGGTTTTTAACTCACAGACTTGCCTACTCTGAGTCTCCAGCAACTTGTCAATTACAGTTCAGACTTTCTTACCCCAGAACTGTCTCCCTCAGAGGTTTCTGCTTGGGAGTTTCTAGTTAAGCAAGTTGTTATTCTGTGTGCACTTGCCAGTCTCCAATTCTGGGAACAGGAGTTGGTCCTGGGACCTCACTTCTCTGACAAATGGAGTTGATTTTTCAGTTCAGCCTTTTACTTGTTGGGGTAGAGAGATGACTTCCAAACTCCTTACTTGATGGCTTGGAAACTGGAAGTCTCATTTCTCCCTCTCAAAATCTAAGCACATCTACAAAGTCCCTTTGCCAAACAAGGTAACCTTCCCAGGTCCCCAGGGATTAGGATATGGACACCTTAGTAGGATCATCATTCAGCCTCCCTACAAGATGTTAGCAACTTTAAGCTTTTCAATTGCTATTATGAATTGTGCTGTTACGAACACTCTCAAATGTGTCTGGTGGGAAGTACATTCTAATTTCTATTGAGTATATATGTAGATGTGGATTGCTGGGTCCATAGGCTAAGTGTATATTCAGCTTTAGTAGATGCCAAATGGTTTTTCCAAAAAGGCTATAAGAATTTCCATTCCTGGGAGAAGATATTTGCAAATGATATATCTAATAAGTCTAGTATCCAGATTATATAAGGAATTATTACAACTCAAGACAAGTAACCTAAAGTTAAAATGGCCAAAGGATTTGAACAGACATTTCTCAAAAAAAAACAAAACACAAATGACAAGTGCAAGATGCTTATTCTCATTTGTAGTTGGGGGAATGCAAACCAAACCACAATGAAATACCACTTCACAACCAAAATTAAAAATGAGTGTTGGCAAAGATGTGGAGAAATTAGAACCCCATACATTGCTGGTGGGAATATAAAATGTAAAATGGCAACCACTTTGGGGAACAATGTGGTGGTTCCTCATAAGGGTATACACATAGTTACCATATGACCCAGCAATGCCACTCCTAGATAAATACCCCACAGAATGAGAACATATGTCCTCACAGAAACTCGTATACAAATGGTTATAAGCAGCATTATTCATAATAGCGACAAGATGCAAAGAACCCAAACATCTACCAACAGACAAATGGATAAACAAAATGTGGCATATCCTACAATGGAATATTTTTCAGCTATAAAAAGGAATGAGGTATTGATACATGCTACAACATGGATAAACCTTGAAAACATGTTAAGTGAAAGAACCTAGTCAATAAAGTCACGATACAGGATTCCATTTATGCAAAATTTCCAGAATGGGCAAATGCATTGAGACAAAGTAGATTAGTAGTCTGTCTTTCATTTTAGACATGCTGGCAGGTATACAGTAGGATTTTCTAGTGGTTTTAATTGTATTTCCTTGATAACTAATAAAATTAAGCATGTTTCATGTTTATTGGCCATATAGATCCCCTCTTTTGTAGAGTACCTATTCAGGAGTCTTAGGAGTCTTGTCCCTTTTATTTTCTTTTTGGGGGGAGGAGAGGGGTGGGAGGAAGGTGAGGGGGAAACTATCTGACTTTTTCTTACTGATTTACTCTTTACATATTCATGATGCTAGTCCTTGTCAGTATGTATTGTAAATATCATCTCTCATTTTGTGGTTTGCCTTTTCACCCTCTTATTGGTATCTTTTGATGAATAGGAGTTATTGATTTTAATGTTCCACCTGTCAGCTTTTCTTTATGGTTTTTGCTTTTATGACCTATTTTAAAGAAATCTTTGCCTTCAAGGTGATGATATTCTATGACTTTTTTTTCTAAAAGATTTATTGTTTTACTT